CCAATAGTTACTATATTTACTATTACTTATGCTTACAATATCCACATATGTCGACTATCTCCGTGTCCGTCCGTGCCTTTCCTTTCGCAGCCGGTGATTTATAGGTTGCATCTCCTTGTGATGCCGATGCTGGCGGCTCGGCAAATGCCATGATTGAAGCAATTTTAATAGGGATTTGCTGGGAATAAATAGGGGTTATATTCCAACTTTAAATAGGGATTGAGCCCATTTAAATATAATCAATAGCTTTTGCAGATTAAAATGTGGATTTAGCCCATTAAAAGTTGGAATTTCACCAGAATTTACGCGGTGAAATTCCAACAGATTTCGAGAGTCCTTCAGCAACTGCTCCAACTACCCCCGATAATCGTGGCATGGGAAATCCCCAGCCTAAAATGTAGGTTTATAGCCGGGAAAATCATCTATAATGGTGATTTAATTAATTAATTACCATTAAACCATCAACAATAGGGCTTTACATACTGGGATTAGTGATTAATCTGGGTAAATCATCTATATATATATATATATATAGATATACGGTAACGACATGAAGATAATTACACTAAAAATTACCAGTTACGTTATATGTTAAAATACTTTTATTTTTAAATGTAAGCTGCCGTCTAGATATACTTAAATTAGGGGCTTTGAAATTGGGCCTTCCCTTGCCATGGTTGGTGTTACGAGGTCGAATCTTTCAGAGCCTTGGTGCAGATGGGGTCACCAAAAGGTGGGGCATTATCTTGATAACGTACGATTTCAAAGTTTGATGGGGATGTAGAATGGGGAAAAGCAAAAATATATACGGTTGGTGGTTGGATGGGTGGAACTGGAACATGTTTTATTTGTCCGTAAGTAGATGAGATGATTCTTCCCAGTGACCAAATTATTATTTTTCAAGATGTGGTATTGCACAACCAACACAGGTTTATTAGCCATCATTAACCATATTAAATAAACCATTTATTATGAACCATTATTAACAGTATATTAACCAGATATTGATAAACATTGATAAAGAACTTGGTCTAGTTTGGCTGTCCAGCTTGTTTCTACTACAACCATGGTGATTTCAGCGTTTGGATGTGGAGCCCCAGCAAGTAGTGTGGACATTCTGTGATGACTCTAAAAGTATGAGCAAAACGAGCAAAGATCACAGGTGATCGGCGAAAACTGCGGCAAGATGACTGGATACTACTCAACTGGATTGTTTAGTACGTTTGTGTGTGTGTGTGTGTTTCGATATTGATATCTGATTCGTTGGTCACTGATTGGTTATTCGTACCTCCATGTAGGGTATGAGTCCCCAATTGTCAGCCATAGGTGGGTCCATTATGCCATCGAGACACCCCATGACCCAAATGCGGAAGGGATCCAACGAACCAGTGTTGATCCATCAATATCTAAAGCTAGTTGAAATCATTGTTGTTTGAACTATGATAACAACTATAGCCCCTACAACTATTACCACTATAAACACATATTAACACTATTACAAGTATCAACATTGCTATAACTACCACAACCATCCACGGAATGGCAATCATTAACCATAACTATTATAACCACAAGAACCTCCCTTATATCCCCATAAGACTATGAAAACATATGTTCATCTACTAAAATCACTATAACCACTATATCCTTATCACACTATATGGGGGTTTCCGAAGTCATAGGGGTACCCCCAGTTCTCATCCATTTTTGTTTGGGATTTTCCATTGTAAATCATCCAGCTATTGGGGATGTCCCATTAATGGAAACCTCCATATCCATCATAACCACAACCACTACCCTCTGGTAATTTAACATAGCTATGGAAAATGACCCAGTCGAAATAGTGGATTTACCCAGCTATAAAATGGTGGATCTTTCCAGTTCGTTTTGTAAACGTTTACCACAACCACTATCCCTAGAATCTGGGTCCCCCATGGTCCCCTACATCCCCCAACCCTCCCAGATCTCCAAAGCGCCCGACTCTCACCCGGCGATACCTTGCACCTACCGCGCAACGCCTACTTCGCGCTGAAGGCTGCCAGGCGATTTCGTAACGTGGATGGCAGTGCTATGGATTGGGGCCATGGAACAAAAAGGGCTTTAACTATGGTTTAACTATATAGGAATTATAGGGGCTATGGATTTGTTACGATGTATTTGTTGGGGTTCGCATGGAAGGAGTTCAACCGACCTTTGGATGGTTTGGTGAATTTTAGTGATTTGATAGCGATTTCATGATGTTTTCTGGTTGGCTTTTATGGGATAACTGGGTGATAGCAGTGGAGGTGATTGTCGCAGCATTTTTATTGGGAATTGGGAATCAAAGACGGTGAATTTCAGCATTCAGTTGATCAATCCAAGTGCAATCCATTGGCATATCAGCTGGTAAACCTCATCGAAGATCTAACAAAATATCACCAAGAGTTGTGGGACAAAAAACACTTTCTATGTGGATAATAAGCCGTGAAGCCGCCATGGCGTGTGTCCCCCCCCTACGTATTTTCAGGTTCCAATGACTTCAACAGGAGTTGGGTATAAGTTAGCTTGCTAAGAAGGGTTGTTTCAGTTGCGATGTTGTTGCAGTGGAATGAACATGACATTGCTATTTAACTCCAGATAAACAATATGATCCGTAATAGTTGGATCTTATTTGGTTGGTTTGGATTCCGCACTGTGCGAAAAACCTGGTAGTCATGCCTAGTCGGAAGCGTTTCCAACACCCATTTGGCCCATAAGTTAACCACACTTGGCGAACCAAAAATAGTTAGCCATAGAATGACCGTGTATTAGTATCATAAAATAACCAGCAAGAAATCACCAGGAAATTGGGAGCATCACCCATCAAGTAGCCATCAAGTAGCCATCAAATCACCATAGACTAATTCACCATCAAATCAACCATCAGACCGATCATCAAATCACCATCATATTTTTATTAACAAGCCATAAATCACCGTTGCCATTTCCGCAGCTCCCTGGCACCAAAGGCCGGGCCAGGACTCCGCGGCGCGACCGCGGAACGCTTCGTTTCAGGCTGCGGCGGTCGCCTCGCCATGGCTCTGCCCAGTCCGCAGATTCCGGAGGAGATGGTGCCGCGGCATCCGACTTAGCCCCAAAGAATCAGTGCCCATTCCGGATGATGGTGAAATTTAGTGACTTAGCCCTGGTGCAAAAACTAGATGTAACTAGTTAGTGGTCAATAAGTCCCCCATTCAGTGGGTTTTTTTCCAGTGGGTGAACCAACCCCATTTAGGAAGCTCGGATTCGTTGTGGTTGAACCACCAAGTAGATGGAGAAGTCGCCACGATAGATGCTGCCACAGTTCACAGGAAGATCAGGTCATATTATTGGAAACCATTGTGTTTTTTTAAGGGAATGTTGTTCGGGAATAAAATGGTGCTGGTTATCTGGTTAGATGTTTCCACCCAAAACAACAATAATGCATGTACATGGTATAATGTATGGATGTATGGTAGAACATTAATAAACCACCCCCAACATTATATGATTATTGGTATGATTGTTCGGGGATATAATGTTGGTAGAACAATAATAAACCACCCCCAATTTCACCATGTTTATTCCCCAAATTGTTCGGGAATAAAATGGGGCTGATGGGAATAAAACCAACCATCACCAACCACTTCATGAGAACCAAATAGGAACCTGGCAGCTTTTTCACGCCCATCTACACAAGGTACATAAACCCATGGCCATCTTGCTACTCTACACTCGCTGTTTTCTTGGTGCAATTTCAATTGAATAGCCTCCGATCATGAAATGTAGCTAGGAAATCCCCTAAGATTGAAGGTTCGCTGGAAAAATCATCGAACTAAATATGGAAAAGAACCAGCTAGCCGTGATGACCAGAGGCTAATTGCTTATGAATTTCACCCTGCTCCCCTACCATCCGCCATCCCAATCCTTCCATGTTTTTTCAGATTTCCGTGTTTGTTTCTGCTTCTTTTCCACCCATCCCTATCCCATCACCGGCTATGACATATGGGTACACATAGAATAGATTAGAATAGATAGGTAGATAGATAGGAACCATACGTAGACTTAGAAAGAGATGGATGATGAATACAGCAAAGGCTTTGACAAGCTTATTCTTACAAGTCTTGCGCCTGATCCAACACAAAGAAAAATCTCAGAAAACCATCCATAGATTGAAATATTGATCAGTTAATTGCTTATCTAATCATTCATTGCTAGTTGGATAGTTAAAGATCATATATGTTAGCAAGACATCGGCTATAATATTAATCTTAATCTTTAACTACATAATAGATTTCAACATGCAACTGTATTCTTCTCCCAATGATATGCCCTTGGGTTCACGGATCCGAGGCGGCCTTCGATGAGGAGGAGAACGAGGTGCGCGGCACGTTGGTCTTCAAACCGCCCGTGGAGATCCTGCCGAAGACGCGGCGCACCGAGGAAATGCAGCGCAAGAAGCTGGTGCCCGGGTGGAAAACAACGGCAACGGCATGGTGGGTGGAGTTTAGCCTCCGGTCATACAAAAAGCCATGGAAAACGGACCATTGATCCATAGAAATAGATGTTTGACCTATTAAAATGGTGATTTGCCAGTTCGCAAACTGCAAATGTTTACCAGAGGGTAATATGGGGAACACAAAAAAGAAGATGTGGTGTCACATGGTTGGTAACAATAAGACTAACCATCATCATGATGCAAATTAAGGTTTATAATGGTTTATAATTGAAATTATATAGTGTTTGATGTGATCAATATTAATTACTATAGTTAATTGAAAAATTATGACGGTTATTATTAGATGGTTATAACATTTGATTATGACTATCATACTATCATTCTTAATTCGATTTTAACCACCATCAAAATTATATAGTGTTTGATGGGATTAATATTACTATATGGGGCTTTCCATAATTGGTGGATACCCCAAAATGATTAAATGGATGGTTTATAATGGAGAATTCTAAAATAAAATGGATGATTTAGGGGTACCCCCATTTTAGGGAAACTCCATATGGTGAACACAAAGAAAAGATGTGGGTATATGATGGATATATGGTTGATATTTGGTTTGATGGTGATTTTTTCATAGTTGTTCATGGATGTTAACTATAGTTGAAGGATGGTTAATAGTGGTTCATGTATAGCTCATAGATGGTAATAGATCGCTCGTTGATATATGGATGAACTGGTGGTTGTGGGAGATGTAGTGTGGATAGGGATATGAAACCAACTTGATCTGGGTTTGTCTGGAAAAATTGGGGAGGACATATAAATTGATGTAAAGCAACAGAATGGTGGTTTTTATGACCATTGAACCATTGATTCTTCGCATCACTGGGTGAAGATACTGATTTTCTTCGTCGGATAGCATCAATGTTTGGTGGTGGTTTGCCAAGTTCGCACGGTGATGGGATGATGAAGCAAAAGTGATGCAGTGATATTCATGATAGGCTAATAGTGGTTAATAGTGATGGTCAATAGTGGTTTTCATAGGCTAATAGTGGATAATAGGTTACAACAGGAATGTGATGGTGATCTGGTTGGTGCTTTGGAACATGACTTTTATGACTTTCCGTTCAGTTGGGAATGTCATAATCCCAACCGACGAACTCATATTTTTCAGAGGGGTAGGTATACCACCAACCAGTCATGATATTCATGTTTCAGTTCCAAAAACCCAAGCCTCACAGATATCCATTTTGTTTCGCCTTGACAATGTCTTGTGGAGTTAGAGGCCCCCAATTCTTCACCATTCATGCATTTGAATGGTCTCCAGCCTTTGGTTTCGCAATCAGGAACTGCTGAAGAAGCGGAAAGAAGATGCAGAGAAGCTGCTCAAAGAAAAGGACTGGACATCTTGAATATATGAAACCCGCAGCCAATTTTTTTTTGGTGAATAATATATTTATATATATGGGGGTCCCCGAAGAGTTGGAATCGATTCATCCATAAATGTCATAAATGATGATGACTAACGAGATAGCAACGGTTCATCCACAATGTCATAGATATCCCTCATAGTGCCTAGGTGTCCAACGGTTCTATCCATTTTTTGCTTGCGAAGGTCCTTCTTATGTGCGACCGTGTTGGACCTGCCAGGAACAGAAGGAAAAGGAGAAACGACAGCAGGAGATGCAGGTGAAGAAGGAAAAACAACGCCTGGAACTGCAAAAGAAGGTCGGTCACTGATGGCGCCTGGGTCGTCGTGGTCCCCTTGGAACAGACGTTGGTCATAGACGTTGAGAAAAACATCGCATGTCAAGGGCAAGTTTTTATTAGATCCGCCATCGCAAAACATTCCTATCAATATCAGAAAGTGTTATCATTATCATTATGATCATGACTATTATTGCAATTTGCCATTATGTATATATATATGTATAGATGTCCTGTAATTAGTATTGCACACGTCACACAATACACCTATGATAGGATAGGAAAGCGGGTATTTTTTTTGGCTCATATGACTTGCTCGGGATTGTTGTATCGTTGTGTATCTAATTGTACTATGTATGATATCAGATCAGTTATTTATCTGAATTTTTCACCGGTGCTTACAAAGAAAAGCAATTCATGCCTGGCCATATCATAATTATATATCATTATATCAGTATCAAATTTCACATTTATCCATCAGATTTGGGTTTTACTGATATCACTTTACAATAATCCTTCATTGATTCCTTAATTTGGAATGTCAGATCTTATTCAGTATATATCACTTCTGATTGGTGGTTTGGAACATGAATTTTATGTTTCCATATATTGGGAATGTCATGATCCCAACTGACGAAGTCCATCATTTTTCAGAGGGGTAGGTCAACCACCAACCAGATATAGTGGCTGATCCAGAAAAGGTACCACTTTATCCATCCACTGGCTTCCATGAAAATCCATCAGATTTATTGTTGGTGATATCACTAATATCATTCGTCTTATAGTGGATATACAAACATATACAACATATATCATATATTCATATATTCATATATATATATATCCCAATATCCGAGTATGTATCATCAACTTTTATAGCTGCTTGACTTACAACATATATCATCATTAATATCTAAACATATCATAGATATTAGCCACAGTGATTTATATGTCCGCTTACAAACAAACCTGCCGTGAGGCATGTTTCGGCCTTGCCAGGAACAAGAACGCAAAAGGAGGGAAGAAGAAGAGCAGCGGAAGAAAAAGGACGGCGGCTTAGATCGACTTCTGCACTCCCTGCGCCTCGGCATGCCTCGGCGTCGATGGGGGGTTCTTCTGCATCGGAGGGGTCTATGAATGGAGGGGGTGTCAAGATGGTTTAAACATCACAATGCGTGTTAAATGAGATGTTTATTATGGCTTCATCGAGTGTTATGTTGGGTGCAAATCGTACATGTTCATACCTAGACTGAATGAATAATATCTGGGAGGATCAACTTTTTTTTACAGCAAGAGGTCAATTTGTGTGTGCTGGTTCTTTGATCATAAACCATCGAAAACCATCTGAAACCAAAAAAAGCATCTAGAACCATCAGAAATCTATCAAACGATCTCAAATCTCATGTTTGTTTGCTGATTTTGCTTTGGTTTCCCCGTGTTTTTCGTCTCACCTTAAAATCCCCAGGTTAGACAACATCAGCGCCCCGGACATCACAGCCTGCGGCATCGACCTAAACCCGGCGCGGCTGCGGCTGCTGTGTAAGAATCTCTCGGAAAACACGTGGCACGGCTGCAAGATGGGGATCGAGAAAGCTGGATGGGAGATCTTGGTCGGTTTCGAATGGTGTGTGTTGTTGATATTGTTTATATGAAACCTGGATGATTTGTTGGGAGATTTCCTGGAATTTGGGGAAGTTAGAAAGCTGGGGGAAATTTGGGAAATTAATGAGAAAGTTGGGGATGTGTTTTTTAATGAGAAAGCTGGGGTATCATTGAGAATTCAAGCCATAGATAATGGTTGTGGAGTTCTTTGAAGCTTACGGAGATAGAATGGGGATAAGGATGCCAACCAACAATTTTCTGCGGATAATGGATATGTGAGGACTGCTGATCCCTTGCCAGTTCCAGACGCCGCAATCAGATCACCTAGACGCCGGAGCAACGTCAAGTTGTTCGGCGGTTGAGACATGTACTAGTGGCACGACAGCCAATATATGAGCTACACAAGCACTCTTGTGCTTGACAGGATTGCCTTCGATTTGCTTTGTCTCTAAACATGGGAGAGTTTGGACGGCGGCAGGTTTTCAACATTGTTGAGTACCAAAATGATCCACAATGTTAAGTACCATAATGTTTGCA